CCCATCCCCTTTTCCTTAAATAAATTCAATTTTTCTCTACTCACCGTCTGAGATGGCTATTTAGCCTGCCCTTGTACCACCAACTTTAACATTTCAGTGGGTATACAGATAAAAAAATTAAAGACCATTTTTTTAAAAGTTTACTATCCAGGAGACTATTGAATGTTATTTTCTTTTAAAAACCTGAAATTTGTACTTGTTTTTATGAAACATTATGCTTTTTCCTGCCTGGAGCATGAAAATTCATGCATTGGAGGGGGTCCCTCAGCCTGGCCTGCTCCCTCTCACAGTCCAGAAGCCCTCAGGGGTGGGAGGCATCCTAGTAGTCAGGGGAAGGCAATGCCTCTGCTGCTGCCACTGCTGGCAGTGCAAGCCTCGGCTGTCCTGGAGCAGTCAATTAGCATATTCCCTCCTTATTGGCTGTGGGTGCCACCATCTTTGAGGACGGGAATTACACCTATACTATGAGATTCTGAATGCAATATTTAAACCAATTATCTAGCAATTAAAATTCACTCTAGGAACTGTAATAAATAGAGGTTTATATCCCCATTGCCTTACAAAATACATGATAAATTTCATGCTGAATAAATATTACTGAAGTAATTAAATATTTATGCATTTTATGGGATCTAAGCTTGCCTAAGCCCATGTAAGTTTTTTTTTTAGTTAATTACTGATATTGAAAATGAGATAGTTCTCTAATGTCAAGAGAGGAATTTGTCATAAGAAACAGAGCTATCCCTAAAACCACGGGTGGAGATGCCACTTATGAACTGTACCAAGCCTGAATGGTGCGCTATATAGAAAACTCTCTTAAGTTTTCTCCTCCATTTCATCTACAAGGAAAAAAAAAAAAAAAAAATGGTAACGTTTACATTGCCTCTATTTAAGAGATGTCAGTTACACATTGAAACCCCTTAACTCTGATTTTTAAACTCCCGAAGAAAAGGTTTTGATTAGTCCAGCATGAAGCAGGCTCCAAACTATGGGCCAATCAACTGTGGCCATCCTTAGGTTAAGGTGATGTTTTATAAAGCCTCATTGTTATCCTGTGGATTGTGTGTGTGTGTGAGAGAGAGAGAGAGAGAGAGAGAGAGAGAGAGAGAGAGAGAGAGAGAAGCAGTTACTAGATATGGGTAAAAATGCTATGATGTATTTGGACAATCAAAAGCTGTGACATTTACATAGCTTTAATATGATGATTCCAAGCACCAGTGCAATACAGACCATAATTCTGTGTCTGAGATTGGAGCTCAACATAGAGATGAATGGCAAAGGGAATAGAAACTTCCTGAAGTGTATAATTTACTTCAAGATTATTTTCCCCTGTTGATTTTTACAAATAGTGGAAGGGAGGAGGAGGAGAGAGAGGGAGAGAGAAAAAAAAAAAACAAAAAACAAACAAACAAAAAAACATTGATGTGAGAAAAACACATTGATTGGTTGCCTTCTGCCCACTAGTGCTGGGGATGGACCCTGCAACTGAGGTGCACGCCCTTGACTGGTATCGAACCTGAGACCCTTCAGTCCCAATGCTCTAACCACTGGAGCAAAACTGGGGAGAGCGTGACTTTTCTATCGCCACGAAAGCCCTTCTCCCCCTCTTCCCACAACATGATTTTCATGTTTAAGCCTGGGCGTGATCTCTTTCAGAAAGCCACTCTGAATTCCACTAAGATGAGGTTAACTGCCCTTCATGTGAAGCACTAATATTGGGAGAGGCAGTTTGGCAGGGGCCCTGAACATCTCTGAATGTTTTCGATATGTATGCCAAGAATGAAAAGTCCTGCCCAGCTGGTGTGGCTCAGTGATTGAGCGTCAACCTATGAACCAGGAGGTCACGGTTCAATTCCCGGGCAGGGCATATATAATACATGGGTTACAAACTTGATCCCCAGTGTAGGGTGTGCAGGAGACAGCTGATCAATGATTCTCTCTTGTCATTGATGTTTCTATCTCTCCCTTCCTCTCTGAAATCAATAAAAAAAAATCTATTTTTTAAAAACAATGTCCTTGACCACTCTTCACCCCTGCCATTTGTCATGTGTTTACAGCAAGCCACCTTGAAGGAGGATAACATCTCCTTACCTACGCAGACACAGGCTTAATTCACCTTACACCAAAAGCAGTAATGCCCTAAAATCCATGTGCTTCTCTTGCAACGCAGGCATCCTTGTTAGGCCTTTTGCATTGTCCCCACTGGATCTGGTGGGTTGTGGGGCGGCAGGGGATTGAATGGGGGGGGGGGGGGGAGAGGTTGTGTATATATAGGTTTTCTAGAGCTGCCATAACAAAATACCACAGACTACAGACGGAGTGGCTTAAAGGACAGAATTCATTTTCTCAGAGTTCTGGAGGCTGAAATCCAAGATCAAGTCGTCCACAGGTTTGGTTTCTCCTGGGGCCTCTCCTTGGGTTGCAGATGGCTGCCTTCTCACTGCATCCTCCCGTGGTCTTTCGTCTATGCCCAAACTCTCCTAATGTCTGTGTGCCCAAATTTCCTCTTCTTGTAAGGACACCAGTTAGGTGAGATTAGGGCCTGCCCCAATGCCTATTTTAAATTAATCGTCCCTGTCTTCAAATACAGTTAAATTCCGAGGCTCAGAAGTTAGCACTTCAGCATATGAATTTTGGAGGGATACTGTTCAGCCCGTAACAGGGGTCATGGGGACCCAGCACAAACCTCCATGAAGCTCTCGCTGCTGCTTTTGCAGAGACTGAGGAAGTTCTCTATCTCTGACCCAGGGGTCTGTGTCTTCTGGCAGCATCCATGAAGCAATACAGACTAACTTGTTAGCTTGCAGGTAGGCTAACATTCCAGACCCCAAGCAGACCCTGGCACCCACACTTTAGCACCTATTACACTATTTACTCTGCCTCTCTCTTTCTTGTCCACTAAACCACAGGAGCTTTGAAGCCAAAGTGTAATGTCTAAGACATAGTAGACACTGAATTAGTGCTTGTTGTGTAAATTCAATTTGCTGTGTGATAAAGAATCTGGCCGAGACATCTGTGGATCTGAAGAGATGCACTTTTAAAGATATGGATTAAGAAAGAAAACAGGTTGGTGCAGAGGCAGTATTGCTAAAGGAGTGTTCGGATACAATTATGTGGCTTCTTTGACATGTTCTTCATAAAAGTGGGTGTGACCACGTGTGTTACACAATTTATCAGGCCATATTTCATTATCCAGTACCAGCTAACCCTCAGATTATTTCTCTGGAAAATTTTTTTTCAAAGTTTGATTTTGGAAGAATGGGAATGTTTCAAATATTTTTTTTTTAAGTGGTAGCTAGAGCAGAGGGAAACTTTCAACTTGAAACATGCAGACACAACCAGTGAAATTCCCTGTCTGAAGGCATTTCCCTAAATTCTTCGCTGCTGGGTCTTTCATTCCCTTCCCGCCTACCTTCTGCAGTCACCACAGAGGTTGCCTCCTTTGAAATCCATTTTCCTCTAAACAGGTGACATTTTCAAGCAACAGGAGGTTGTGGGGCTGAACCCCGGGTTCAAAATAAGACCACCAGAGGCTGATGATTTATTTTAAAAAAACAGGCAAAGATTTGTTGAAATATCTGGCCAGGACAGCCGAAAGAGCACCACACGCAGGCGGACTCCACACAACTGTGCTGCTTCAGGGGCAGGTAGTTCTTTTTAAAGGTTCTGAGAAGGAAAACCCCTATTTTGTAACAAACTGTTTGGAATTTTCTGCTGTTCTTCCTAGATAAAATGTTGCTTTCTAGTTTGCTTTAGCCCATTTGAAGAATGATGAAGATAAACTTAGCTGTCTGACCTTGTAGCCCACAGACCAGATTTGCCCACAATCTCAATACCATGCCAGGTGCACCTTCTCAATTGGATAGAACTATATTGTTTTCAAGGCCAGCATCGAGATAACCACTAAGTGCACATAGGGTTTCTTTAATTAAAAGAGAGAAAGTTCTGCCTGTAACCTTGCTTAGAATTTGAATTCATCCTCCCTAAGCCCATTGCGATGAACAAAGCAAGTCTCTCCACTCTGCAACAGTTCAAACCGCAGGAATTTTCCTTTGTTCTAAATTCTAAATCCTAAAGACTACATTCTAAAGACTGGGGTCAGCTCGCAGGGTCGTCCCCAGTCACATCCTGCTGGACATTGGAATGTGGCCCTATCTTGCAGAAGCAGAACTCAGTGGTTAATTTCCAAAGGTTATGGTCCCAGGCACAGGAAAATTGCTTTAGCAGGTTTAAAATTCAAACAGCAGTTTTTACCGAAGTATGGTTGCCACTATATTTCAGAGGTGAGGCCCAGCGTGCCAAGGCCTTGGTGATCAAGGGTGTTACTCTCATCCGCGGTCTCTCTTTGCCAGATCCCAGCTCTCCATGGGGCCAAGGAGGCTGGGGAGAGGGGGATCCCAGGGCCAAGGAGGCTGGGGGAGAGGGGGACTGGGGGCCAAGGAGGCTGGGGAGAGGGGAATCAGGGGGCCAAGGAGGCTGAGGAGAGGGGGACCCGGGGGCCAATGAGGCTGGGGGAGGGGGACCGAGGGCCAAGGAGGCTGGGGGAGATGGGGACCCAGGGGCCAAGGAGGCTGGGGAGAGGGGGATCAGGGGGCCAAGGAGGCTGGGGGAGGGGGACCGGGGGCCGAGGAAGCTGGGGGAGAGGGGGACTGGGGGCCAAGGAGGCTGGGGGAGGGGGACCGGGGGCCAAGGAGGCTGGGGGAGGGGGACCGGGGGCCAAGGAGGCTGGGGGAGAGGGGGACCGGGGGCCAAGGAGGCTGGGGGAGAGGGGGACCGGGGCCAAGGAGGCTGGGGGAGGAGGGGGACCAGCCCATCGCCGACCCTCCTTGGTGCGTACCCCCGATGAGACCACCCGCGCCCCCACGTGGCCGCCGGGGGAGCCGGGCGGGCGGCCGAGCACAGACACAGCCCCGCCCGGGCACACCCCGCCCGCCGGGCCGCCTCCGCCCGCGGCGCTCCCCGCCTTCCCGGCCGCCGCCGACCCGACGCAGCGCCCGGACATGGGCCGCCTCCCGCGGGCCGCGCTGCCGTGGCTGCCGCTCGCCCTGCTGGCGGCCGCGGGGGCCCCCGAGGCGCCGGTGAGCGCGCCGCGCAGCCTGGCGTGGGGCCCCGGGCTGCAGGCGGGCGTCGTGCTGCCCGTCCGCTATTTCTACCTGCAGGCCGTCAGCTCCGAGGGCCGCAACCTCACCCGCCCGCCCCCAGGTAGCGCCCCGCCGCGGCCTCCCTCGCCCCGCCGCCCGCCGCGTCCCCGCCGCGCGCCCCGGGCCCCCCCGCGCTCCTCGGGAGCCCGCCCGCCGCCCGCCGCCCGCGTGGCTCCCCCCCCCCGCCCCTGGCGCTCGCCCTCCTCGGTTTGGTCACGACATTAGAAGCGGGGAGGGTAGCAGTGGAGTGAATGCATGAATGCACGCATGCACGCATGCATGCATGCGTGAATGAATGAATGAACGAACGAACGAACGAATGAATGAATGAATGAATGAATGAATGAATGAATGAATCCCGAGGGCCCCTCCTTCTTTAATGCGCTGGGACTGAGGTTCCGAGTGCCGGCGTCCAAGGCGTTAATGAAGGCAGAGTAAGTCACACCAGGAGACGCCTTTCCGCCTCTGACTGGTCGGAACTGTTTCTGCACGGAGGGAGGGGGTGCCTGCAAGTATTGAGTCATCAGGCCCACGAATCTCTGGGGTTACAAAGCTTGGGCCTGATGGGTTTTTAGACACAGTTACCTCCTACACAAAGGGAATGAATGACAGATCCCTAGGCAGGAAGAAGGCAGTTTTGCCCGCTAGATTTTGGCCTTCCTGCAGTTTTGAGTTCTTGGAAGCAGGTTGCAGGAATTAGGGGAACTCAGTAGAGCTCAGGAGGTGTTCCCTCTCCCGAGGGTGGATCTTGTCCCGAATCCCTGGGCCCGGCTGTCCTCCCACGTTCGCCTTCACATCTTACCTTTGCAACGTATGACAACGAGTCCTGCTGGTTTCAAGTTGTTACCCGTCAGGGTTTGCTAATGTATGTCTCATTTATGTTCAGCCAACTGGACCCTGTTTGACAAGCAAAGAATCAATCAGAATTACCCAGTGCCTCTCCTTCCACTGCCAGCGGGAAAGGATGACTACTTATTTTAGTTTTAGAAAGACTTTTTGTGGGCCTAAGAATCAGGAGAAAATATTCTTAAATCCAGATTCAAAGTCTTTCACTCTGCGGTGTATTTTTCTTCCCTATAGATTATATTCTAAAATTAATTTTATATTGCTATAAGGTGGTGGGGGAAAAAAGAAGGTGGAAAACTAAAAAGATTAATTTCTACATGAAAAAAAGAAAAATTACATGATCCAAAATGAAATACTGCTGATCTTACTATTAGTGAAAGAGCTGTAAATTAAAAAAAAAAAAAAATCGATTTCTTCTTCTAAAAATATTGGCAGTTTTTTTAAAGTTAGTACTAATACTCAAAGGTTTTAAGAGGGCAATGGGTTACTCGGTGACCTTCAGCCTCTGCTAATGGAGCTCAAATTGGTCCAGCATTTCTGGAAAGTAACTGCCTAAATGTAGCAATTCTTAAACATTTACAAACCTAATGTACCCCCCAAAAAATTATTTTCAACAGTTAGAAAATGTCATTTGTAAATGTCACTTACAAAAAATGCTTTTGCCCTTTAGTCTGATGGTCTGGTTCCTAGGTATCTATCCTGAGATAATTAATGACCAGAATGTAATCAAGGATTTTTTATATACAAGGATATTCTTGCAGCATTATAATTGTTTATTATAGTAAGTTTATTTATTGTTATTATTATTGCAAGTTTAAGTAGCCAACTATAAAGTAATTGCTAAGTAAAGTATGGTACCTGCATGTGATGGAATATTTGACAGCCATTAAAAGTACTGTTTTGCCAAAGGGCTGTTGGAAGAGGGAAACGGGAAGTTGTTGAATTGTTATAGAGTTTCAGTTTGAAAAAGGCCTAGGGATTTGTTGCACAACAATGTGCATATATTTAATGCTACTGAACTATACACTAACATGGCTGTGCTGGCTGGGTGGCTCAGTTGGTTGGAGCATCCTTAGGTACACCAAGAGCTTGTGGGTTTGATTCCCAGTCAGGGCACATACCTGGATTACTAGTTCGACCCCTGAGTCAGGGCGAGTACAGGAGCAACCAACTGATGTTTCTCCTTCCCCTTTCCCCTCTTTTCTCTCTCTCTCAAATCCATAAACATACACTCCAATGAGGATTAACTAATTGGTTAAACCCTGGCTGGTGTGCTAAATGGTTAGAGCATCGGCCCATAGAAGAAAGGATCTCGGGTTCAATTCCTGGTTAAGGGCACATATCTGGGTTGCAGGTTTGATCCCCGGCCCTGTCAGGGCGTAGACTAGAGACAACCGATCAATGTGTCTCTCTCACATTGCTGTTTTTCTCTTTCTCTCTCCCTCTTCCTCCCTCCCTTTCACGCTCTCTAAAAATCTATGGGAAAAATATCCTCAGGTGAGGATTAACCAAAAAAAATTTTTTTAAATAGTTAAGATGGTGAAATTTATGTTACTTTTTTTTTTTTTCTTCACAATTTTTGAAGTAACTTATTAAAAGACTAGAGGCCCAGTGCTAGCAGTGGGTGAGACTGTGGTGTGCAGGAGCAAAGAATTTTCAGTAACCACCAGAGGCTTGCCCCGATGGCAGCACCTTGCGCCCCACCTTGGTCTGGTGCCCCCGCTCACCTGCTCCACCATCCCACCTACAGCGGCCAATGCCCAACATGTTTCACATGTGTCCCCTGGTGATCAGCACATGTCATAGCGACAGGTTCCGTTGTTCCAGTTATTCTGCCATTCAGTCTATTTGCATATTAGCCTTTTATTACATAGGATGCTTATATTTGGTTAAGACTGGAATGAACGGGAAAGAAACTATGTAGTTTCATTCTAATTTTGTAATCAGTAAATTAACCTGTACCTCACTCATTAGCGCCATCAGTGGTTATAGCAAGAGAATAAGGGTATTCCCAAGAAAATTTTCCCCAAAAATGGTTATATTGTGTTTATAATCAGGAAAAAAGTTTTAAGAAAAAAAAGACTTTCAGCAAGTCTTTCCAGGCCACCTCACTTTCCTTCCCTTAGACTCTGCTTGTTTCCTTTCATGCCCCTGGATTCCCACCTTCCATTCAAAAGGCTGAAAAACAAACCCCCACCAGTTTCTCACATCTCCTGCCCCCGTCATTCATTTGTAAGTCTGGAATTTTTTCTTCTCCCAGAACTAATTTGAAAAGAGGCTCTATTTCCACAAGCTCTAGATTGTCTTATATCGCTTACCAAGATTCCCTTATTACTGTCATTATCGCTCTCATTTAATAGTGTCTGAATACCATAGTTATGTGGCACATCTTCATTACAGAGAAAGCAAATGTGTTGTGAAGTTGAATAGTCTAAATCTGGAGGTTTCACCGAAACCGGTCTGGCTCAGTGGATAGAGCGTTGGCCTGAGGACTGAAAGGTCTCAGGTTCGATTCTGGTCAAAGGCATGTACCTTGGTTGAGGGCACATCCCCAATAGGGGGTGTGCAAGAGGCAGCTGATCGATGTTTCGCTCTCATTTATGTTTCTAACTCCCTATACCTCTCTCTTCCTCTCTGAAAAATCATAAAATATATATATTTAAAAATAAATAAATAAATAAATCTGGAGTCCCCAGACAGAAATTAGGGGATGGAGAAAAGGACCTATCTATATCTTGATTTCACTAACCTCTAACTTAAACTGAATATTTCCTTCTATTGTGAATGTAGGCAGAACCTACTGATATTTTTATATTCCAAGCATCTAGCACAATGCCTGGCAGGGATTTTCAGTAAATATTATAGGAGAAGAGAAAGAAGGAGTAGAGGGAGGGTGGTTAGAATAGGCGAGATGGTAGGATACAAGCAAGTGCCCTTGATCATGAACAAGGTGGGAGTTAGCGGTGCTGACCCCCAGTGCAACCGAAAATCCACATATAACTTTTGACAACCCCAAAACTTAACTATAATGTTTTCCCATGTCACGGGATTGGTTCCAGGACACTCACGGATATCAAATTTCATAGGTGCTCAAATTCCTTATCTAAAATGGCATAAAACAATGCATACAGTTAGCCCTCCACATCCATGAATTCCCAACCGTGGATGAAAAAAATACTGTTTTCAGTCTGTGGTTGTTTGAATCACAGAGGTGAAACCTAGGGAAATGGGAGGGGAAGGATTGTGTATTTATTGAAAAAATCCGCGTATACATGGACTCATGCCTTTCAAGCTCAGGATGTTCCAAGATCAGCTGCATTCATTTTCTACTCAGTCCTCTCCTGCCTCCATCAGTAATGGCATCACTATAAAATAGTCTTACCCCCTAGTTGTGTAGCACTTGACTTTTTAAACTTGCTCTATTTACTTTGTTCTCCTAAATTGTCTTGTGATATGGGAAGGATAGGTAGTCTTTTCACTTTACCTACAAGAAACCGAGGATCAGTGACGCTAACATGCTTGCCCATGGCCCCCATGGCTACTAAATGTCAGATCCAGCTGTGGAATACCTAGTTCAATGCGCTTGCCCTTTCATCAAATCACCATAATATAGTTGCCGAGCATGGTCTGCAAGCAGCCAGACACTTTTGGAGGATTCCATGTAGCCTCCAGGCAAAGCCAGTTGGCCTTCTGGGACTCTGTTCCCTTGGGCATGTGGCCCAACACTTTTGTTGCAGCTGCTGAGACCCTTAATAAACTTCCTAAACAGCGGGGTTGGGGCTTGCGCTAACTCCATTCAGCCAGGAGTGCCAGAGGGTATTCCTCCAACTTGGAATTCTGTGAGCCTGTATGCTGACATTACACAGTGTGACCAGGGGGTTCAGGGTGGGCTTTAAAAGAAGAAAGATTCAAGCTGGTTCAAATGTTGGCTCAGTTACTCCTGTGTATGTGACCTTGGGTGAGTTACTTAACTTCTTCAAGGGAGCAGTGGTCTCCTGGTCTGTAAAATGACGGTGACAATACCTACCTTACAAGTTCTTGTAGAAAATAAATAAGACAGGCAATGCATTGTGAAAACCTCAAGCTCCTGGACTGGTTAAGTGAAAATTTTTTTAATGTTTTTTAATTTCTTTCCAAATCAAAAGTCTTTAGAATTTCTGATTCTAACGAGGTAAGGCTTTGATACTGCCAATCTCTTTTTGTTTGCACAGTCACTGCATTCTCAATCTATTAGTTTTTGAATTTGTGGAGTAGAAAAATTCCAGCTGAGCTTCAATTCTGTTCCATTATATCAGCCACAGGCAGATGAGAATCCGCATTCCTTCCCTTTGAAGCAATTTGCAGTTACTTCTTCTCATTTTCTCTTATGAGATTGGAATTGTTTATTTCTATTTAATCATTATTATTTTGCATTGAATCTAACATTGTTTCATGCCAACAGTGACACAGGCATGAAAGATTCCTACAAAAGTAGCCAGAAAAAATCACACAGTCATTACTATGCTTGTCTTATATTTGTTTTGTTTTTTATTAAAATCATAAATTTATGGAGAGAAGGACTGTCTGGTCAGGAGACAAGAAAACTTCTGTACTGTTTCTGGTCTGGGAGGGAATAAGGAAAATGGCTCTCTGTTCCCCAGGCTCTGCCTTCCTGGTTTTCAGTCTGCTTGCCTTTCTGGAGCTAAGTGGGAAATAACACAGATCAGTAGCTTATGTGTTTTGTTAAGCATTTCAGCTAACTGGCCAACATTTTAAACAATTTCACATTATATTATTGCCTTTTTTTTTTACAACCAACCCCTCTATTTATAGATGTCTGTCATAATTTTGTGACATTTATTTCAAATATCTAAAAATGTATGTGCTTGGTACTTAATTATCTAATAGCAAGATGTCAGATACAGCATTACTGTGACTAAACTGAAGAGACTGAGAAACATTTCTCCTGACCCACAAGAAAAAAAATAAAACCGGTGAAGGTCAAGAGAAAATAGAAAAGTCACTCGCTACATTTAGAAACTAAAAAAGAGGAGATACAGACTTTCTCAGTAATTTAAAAAATATATACAAGGGTGGGAAAGGTTGGTTTACAGTGGGGAGTATGTGAAACATATAATTTATTATTATCATTTTTATTATTATTTGTTAGGAACTACTGTAAACCTACTTTTCCCCACCCCCATATTAAAATATGCTTAATTTCATAATGAGGGATATGAGATGAAAGAATACTTTGGTCACAACTTATTGTTTGTTAGGCTGTGGATTTCAGAGGATTGGCCACTTTTTAAATATGATTAATTATGGTTAGGACACTAATTGATCTTTCTTCTTTTTTTTTAATCCTCACTTGAGGATTTTTTCCCATTGATTTAGAGAGAGTGAAAGGGAAAGAGAGGAAGTGGAGAGAGAGGAACATTGACATGAGAGAGACACATCTATTGATTGTTTGTTTTACTCGGGGGCATTGAACCTACAACGGAGGTACATGCCCTTGACCTGGATTCGAACCCACAACCTTTTAGTTCAGAGGCCAGTGCCCTAACCACTGAGCAAACCAGCCAGGGCAGATCTTGATTCTTAAAGCTCCTGAGGATCTGCACTGAATGCAAATACACCCTCTGCCTTCTCTGGAAAAAAAAAAAAAAAGAAAAGAAAAGAAAAAAAAAAGGTCTCAGCATTCGTACCTGGGCCACAGTAACATGAATCACAGCAGCTTAATATCAACGCCTAAAAGTCAGCTCTGTCTCCCTTATAAGAGAAGGGGGGGTTCTAAGTAGAACAGAAAACCCATGGAATTTTGGAGTGATAAGTATTAGATTATCCTTGCATAACTGTTTCATTTCAACCTGAGGAAACGAGCTTAGAGAAGTAACTCTAGTAGTTACAAAGGTGTGTGTGCACATGTGTATTTGTGCATGGTCATGTAACTCTCTATAATCTCTCTCTACTTAAAGAAATGGGCTTAGACGTATAGCTTGAAATTTGGGTTAGCAAAAGGAAAACTTCCTCAGAAATGAGGGTTATTTGATATTATAATGGTTTACAAAGAAAGCTTATATATGTCTTAAAAGGAAAAGTTGGATTGCCTTCAAGTTCTGTTATTTCATGGTTCACAGATTTTTAACTACCTGAGTAAGCTTTTACCTACCCAAAAACAGAAAAGATCAAATAGGCAAAAAGTTCATCTCTTCCTTGCTTTTTTATGAATTAATTTTGTTCACTCAATAAATCTTTATTTGAATGACTAATGAGTCAATGTTGAGTCAGGTCCCTGATTTAAAGACATAAACCAGAATAGTTTTTGGCCTCAAGGATCTTTCAAACTAAAATGATTTATTTTAACCATTGATACTAGAAATCTAAGAAACTCCTATGTAGAGACAGCTATCCACTAATTGTTACAACAAAGCAACTGTGAAGTAGTAGAGTTATTTATATATATATTTTTTTCTTTCAGGTCCAGCACAATTTAAAGTAGTAGTCAAATCTCTTTCACCTAAAGAGTTGGTCCGGATTCATGTCCCCAAACCTTTGGACAGGAATGATGGGACATTTTTGATCAGGTATAGGATGTATGAATCTGTCAATGAAGGGCTGAAGATAGAGGTCCTTTATGGTGATGAACATGTGGCCCAGTCTCCCTATATTTTGAAAGGTAAGTGATTCTTACACAATTTAGAACCAGCCTCATGTGTAGATATCATGCCTTTCAGAATGAGTTATGAAGATCTTGAAGTCATGTGGAACAAAGTAAAGCTTTATTTAACTTGAAATTTTAAGGGAAGCTCAATTTAACTTGAAGTTTTAAAGGAAAGAAAAACTGAGTAACTTAAAGAGATATCAGTGATGATGATAATAATAATAATAATATATTGTATATTTAGCTAGGTAGTTCCATTTCCAGTACTCTTCATTATTCACACAAGGTAAGTTGCATTACCTCCATCAACCATTTATAACTCACTAGGACTTTACCAGCTAATTGGCCGAGAGTACTAGTATATTGGGAGTGATGGTATGCTATACTAGGTTGTCTAGGGAGGGTGCAAAAAGGAGACAGAAAATAGGAGCGACAGGACTCTGACATAACTACTTTCACCATGGTTGTGTTTAGGGCAGATTTTTCCTGATCCTGATAATCTTAGAATTTGCTAGGAAGCCATCCCACGTTCACAACAGGGGCAGACACAGCGGCTTGCCTTGCGCTGGCTAATGAAGTGTGTGTTTTGCCTTCCCCAGGACCCATATACCACGAGTACTGTGCGTGTCCACAAGAGGATCCCCAGGCTTGGCTGCAAACTCTTTCTTGTCCGACCGAAGAACCACAGATTGCAAAAGATTTTGCTTCCTTTCCCAGCATCAATCTCCAGCAGATGCTACGCGAAGTTCCAAAACGGTTTGGGGAAGAGAGGGGTGCCATTGTCCACTACACGATTCTCAATAACCACATCTACCGGAGACCGTTAGGGAAATACACGGACTTCAAAATGTTCTCAGATGAGATCCTGCTATCACTGGCAAGAAAGGTACGAGAATGACTTCATTGGCTTTAAAAACAGTATAATTTAAGTACTTAGTTGTAACATGTAAACGCTTAGGAGAATAATGGTCAAAGATGGAACTGGACCTCTGGCTTGGAAATGTGCACATGAGGTGCCCACCTCCCGCGTGTCTGTAAGTTCTCCATGGCTATTTACATGAAATGGCTTCACCCTCCATCCCAAACAAGTAGGGCACAGGGTACTCCCAGGGTTTCTGTGAACTCAGACATGTATAGCCTCCAGAAAACAGCTGCTGGAAGTTCTCTATTCTTGCTGAATGTTCCTTCCGTTCAGGTTTCACTCTCTGCAGCTGTTTTCTTCTTGTCACCTCAGAATGATTTGAATTTAGAACTCAGCTTCCTTGTTGTACCCGAAACATCTCTGAAAGACACTGTGTGTGGCACAGTTTGTTGAAGGGTGGGATCACAGAGAAAAGTTATTTTGTACCCATAGATAGTAGAATCAGTCAATGAATTAATAAGTAAACAAAAACCTTAAAAAATAGGTATCCCTGTACTTGCAGTCAATCACCTCCCACCCCAAATCTTCTATTTATCCCTTCTTTCCCCATTTGCAAAACTTTTAAGTAGAGTAACTCAAAGTGATTTTTGTTCTATTTCCCTGATCATGGAGAGTAAGGGGTGAAGATGGGCAATTGAACGTTTCTCGTTCAGAAAGACCATCAAGGTCGTTTTCTAAACCGAAAGCCAACTTTCTTGATATGAGTTGTATAATTTCCCAAGCACACTGAATGTGTGGCTGCAATCATTTCTGATTTTGACTAGCAGTTTGCCTCCCCTCTCCCCACCAGTCTACAATATGAACATATGGGCAACTGATCCTAAAGGTGGTGCTTTCTTCCTGCCCTGTATTCCCATATCTTGTATTCATGTGGTTCTTAACTAGGAATAATTTTGCCCTCAGAGAACATTTGACAATGTCTAGAGACATTTTTGTTGTCACCACTGGAGGGTTGCTACTAGCATCTGGTGGGTAGAGGCTAGAGGTGCTACTAAACATCCTACAATGCACAGGGCAGCCCCCACAGCAAATAATTACCCACAACTAAATGTCCATAGTGCTGAGATTGAGAAACTCTGCTCTATAGTGAGGACTCCTGATCTGGGTTTATTAATGAGCTTACAAATTACTAGTGCCCCAGTGCATGGATTCGTGCACACTGAAAGGTGGCCAGCAGGGCAGGACTGGGCAAGACAGGCTGGCACGCTGTGGTGCCAACCTCCCACGGTACCTCCCCAGCTGGCTGTACCTGGGGCAGCACCTTAGCTCTAAGGGCATCTGCAGAGTGAGCACTGGGTCCCTCTGGCACATAAGGTCCCTTGGCCTGGCTTGCAGAGATTGGGCCAAAACCAGCTCTCCTAAATCCCTTGAAGGGATCCTGGATTGTGAGAGGGCGGTTCTCAGGTGATGTATCCCAGAATTGGGCTCCCTCCTCTCTGGTTCCAGGGTGCATCACCCAAGAACCCAAGTCACCACAGCTTGGCAGCTCCTGCATTGTCTGCCCTCTGGTGGTTGTTGTGTGCCATAGGTACTGGTCGGACAGTCACTTAGCCTTTTATATATAGAGATATGAGAAAAGCAATAGGGTGAATAGTCACACCCCTCGACCTTCTGTTTTGTTCCAGGTTCTTTGCCCAGTGACTGGGAAGAAATCTAAGATAAATATGAGTCTCACCTCTGGTCTTTGAGCTCCTCATTCTTATGGGACTTATTTTTGTAATTTGGAAGTGAGGGTGGGATGTGAATATAAACTACAATTGTACCACAACATGACAGGCCTGAGAGAAAAATAGGTACCAGGTTAAAATGCCTGGGAGGGTGAATCATAGCGAGGGTGAGTCATTAGCTCTGGATGAGAAAGGGAAAGTGCCAAGTGAATAAACAGGAGAAGAACATTCTGGCCAAAGAGAATTACATATTAAAGTGGGTGGCATTTTCAGAGAGTAACCCAAAGTTTACTGGCACATAAACAGATAGAAGATGAGGCTCAAAGGTAATAGTAGGACCTTGAGTTCTAACCAGAGAGTTTAGACTTTGTCCTAAAGGCTTAAGGTTCTGTTAAGTCTGGTAGTAACATTAACTTTGGTTTTAGAAATTTGGGCAGCCTGGGGAGGGAGGGCATGTATGGGAGTGGGGAAGGGAGGGGCCAATGGTAAGATATGTACACATATAATACCTAAATAAATTAAAAAAAGAAAAAAAAAAGAAATTTGAGCAGCAATGTGGAAAACATAATAGAGTGGAGAGAGTCTAGTAACAGAACACCTAGGAAGTAAGCTATTGCAACAATCTAGGCAGGAGATGATAAAGACATTGTCTGCAGAGGTGGAGATGGAGTAGCAGATTCCAGAATCAAAGGTAGTTGCGATAAAGAAGTTTGATAGAGAGAAGGAAAACAAGGTCTTGAATCTAACTTTGTAGATTCTCACTTAGGCAGCTGTCAGTAAGAAAGCCACTCATTCATACCCACCTGTACAATTTCAGCTTCACACTATAGACCAACTTAAAACATCACCCCTGAACAGAGGTAGCTGACTCCTGATTATGGGATTGACTCTGTATTATCCTCATCCTTGATTCTCTGATACTAATGACTGAGGCATTCTTTTCTCTTCTGCTATTTTCAGATGTTCCATTTTATCAGAAACTAGAGGCCCAGTACACAAAATTCGTGCACAGGGATATGTGTCCCTCAGCCCATCCTGCACCCTCTCCAATCTGGGACCCCTCGAGGGATGCCTGACTGCCTGTTTAGGCCTGATCCCAGTAGAATCAGGCATAAACAGGCAGTCTGACATCCCTCTCACAATCCAGGACTGATGGCTCCCAACTGCTCATCTGTCTGCCTTCCTGATCACCCCCTAATCACTCCCCTGCTAGCCTGATTGATGCTCCCCCGCCAGGCTGATTGCCCCTAACTGCCCTCCCCTGCAGGTCTGGTGTCTCCCTCCTCCCCGCCAACTGCTCTCCCCTGAAGGCCTGGGTACCCCCTAACTTCCCTTCCCTACAGGCCCAGTTGCCCCCAACTTCCCTTCTCTGTTGGCCTCATCACCCCTAACTCCCCTCCCCTGCAGGCTTGATCACCTCCAACTGCCCTCGCCTGCTGGCCTGATCCCTCCCAACCACCCTCCCCTGCTGGCCATCTTGTGGTGGTCATCTTATGTCCACATGGGGGCAGGATCTTTGACCACATGGGGGCAGTCATATTGTGTGTTGGAGTGATGGTCAATTTGCATATTACTCTTTTATTAGATAGGATATGTAAGACAGCCAAAGAACTGAAACATTTAGTACCAAACACAGAGGTCTTCTCAGCACTGATTTTTATTTATTTATTTTGTTTGTTTGTTTACTTAGGTCCTTCTCCCAGATTTAGAATTTTATATTAATCTTGGAGATTGGCCTTTGGAACACCGAAAAGTCAATGAAACGCCTGGCCCTTTACCTATCATTTCATGGTGTGGCTCTCTGGATTCCCGAGATATTATCCTTCCGACATATGACACCACTCACTCCACACTCGAAGCAATGAGAGGTGTTTCAAATGACCTCCTCTCTATTCAGGGAAATACAGGTAAATTCAAGTTCATTATCTAAGAAAAAGCTTAGAAATAAAACAAGGTGAAGGGGATGTTTAGTCAAGGAGAGTATATGTATATATATTTAAATAGCCATTTTTTTTATTTTCTAACCAAGAAAAAAGAGAAACAGCACTCTATACACCAAAGAGGTTTCTTTAGGATTCTTCTACTCCAAAAATTAAAGCTACATGAGCTGGGCTAGTAATGTGCAAACCTATCAGAGCTGAGTCTCTTTTGAGTTGGTCACTTATAACTACTCTTTGAACACATATATTTGGTAAAATTATCACTGAATTCTGACACCAATGCCTTTATATTGCTAGATGAAGTGAGAGATACTTTTGAAAAGCATAAAAAATATATGTACGAGAATATGATAGCAGTGTAATTTGGGTATTATTCCTCCCACACTGTGTCTAAGAAATTCTTCCCCTTTCCTCTTTCTGCTTCTCGTGATTCTTTAAAATCTGAATTCCTTTCCCCTTTTTAATGGCTTTAGGTTTATGGCGCAACACACCTTTTCATTAAACTGAAGTCCCTGAGTCGAAGAAAGCCTGCCCTCTCTTTATAGCCTCTGTCTGTGTGTTGTGGGTTGGTGGACTGATTTTATAGACAAGTCCAGAGACTCCTTGTAAACCATCTAAAGATGATGTGAAAGGAAAACTGACCTACTTTTTATTTGATAACAGTGCATTTCTAAAAAGTGTGCTAGCATACTATTGAGTTTGATCCTCTCCAATTTCTGTGTCTTATGATTTATCCCTTAGAACACTGACAGGTGTTAACTGACCTCTCTTTAGAATAATAGAAATATATTTAAATTATTTCTTCCTGAATATTTCCCAATCAGGAAAGAGAATATAAGTGTCTGTATGCCTGTGTATATGTATACTGTGTGTGTGTGTGTCTGTGTGTGTGTGTGTGTGTGTGTGTATAAATAACAGCATATTAGCAAAAGTCTTTCATGTATTCTGAAGTGCTCTGCTCATAATTCTGAGCAAGCTAAGGATTAAAGATGTGTGGGTGTTACTTAGTTACATAGTTTGTTCTGGTCACCTTGTCTACGGACAAAAGCTGGCTCATTTTGTACTAAGAAGCACAGAAGATGGAAGAAGTGCCCTCTTACTCGGTAGTTAGAGCATTGGCCTGCATGCCAAAGGGTCACGGGTTTGATTCCCAGGCAAGGGCACTTACCTAGGTCGGAGGTCCAATTCCCAGTCCCAGTTAGGGCAAGTGTGGGAGGCAACCAATTGATCTGTCTCTCTCAAATCAGTGTTTCTCTTTTCTTCTTCTTCTTCTTCTTCTTCTTCTTCTTCTTCTTCTTCTTCTTCTTCTTCTTCTTCTTCTTCTCTCTCTCTCTCTCTCTCTCTCTCTCTCTCTCTCTCTCTCTCTCTCTCTCTTTCTCTTCCCCCCCTTCCTTACCTCCCTTCCACTCTCTCTAAAAAACTAATGGAAAAAATCTCCTCAAGTAAGGATTACAAAAACAAACAAAAAAGATGGAAGAAGCTAATGCCTTGGTGAACAGGCCAAGTCGATGAATCTCTCTTTGCTTTGAACTTGGTCCAGTAATATCTTGTATATTTTCTAATATTGCACAACAGAAACTCCACCATTTGAGTGAGCTCTCCCTAGCAGACAAAGAAATGAAATTAGAGCATTCTAATCCCATAAGGTTTGAAAATAGCATTTACTTTAGAACAGGGGTGGAGAACGTCCAGCCAGGGGGTGGTATAAGGCCCACAAAATCATTTGGTCTGGCCCTGCCAAGGCATTAGGGGTGAGTTAATCAAATGTTTGACCAAATACAGCAGGCTCATTTTTAAGCTGATAATTTTGTATGGCCTGCGAATGATGTTATAATCTCCAGTGGCCACTGGCAGAAATGGTTCCCCGCCCCTGCTTTAGAAGACGTGGTGATGATAAAAGAGCTTCAACATCTTAGGTGACAGTGTTAGATTAAAGATGATTACATTTACCACACAAAAGTTTTAAATATATAACCTTTTTTTTTTTTTTTTATGGTCTCCACCTCCTAGGGCCTTCCTGGGCCAATAAGACAGAGAAGGCGTTCTTCAGAGGGCGGGACAGCCGGGAGGAGCGGCTCCAGCTGGTGCAGCTGGCCAAGGAAAACCCAGAGCTGCTGGATGCGGGGATCACGGGGTACTTCTTCTTCCAAGAGAAAGAAAAAGAGCTCGGAAAGGCCAAATTGATCGGTTTCTTCGATTTCTTTAAGGTATGCATTGAATTCTTCCTGGGTGGGTCGGAAGGGATCAATTGGTGACTAGCTGGGCTGGGTCCAGTTCCTCCTGTCTTGTGAGCTGGCGCACCCTTCCTTTCCAGGCATGGGAATGACAGCACGCCTGGTTTCCTGTTGTTAATTTTGTCTACCGAACTACTACTCAGAACTGTACTTAATACTCAAAATGTAGCACAAGGATTAACTTGGAGTTTGGGTACATTTCTTTGTGTGTGTTTTTTCAATAAACTGGATATATAAATGTCTTCTACATATATGGTCTCAAATGCCTTTGTAAACAGAGAGAGTATAAATTCCAGATTAGTAACACAGGAGCTAGAGTTGAGCTTGAGTCCTGCCTCTGCTGCTAACTGTGGGGCCCTCATGTCGCGCTGCCTCTGCCCTGTGGACTCAGGTGCTGCTGCCTCGCTCCTCAGCGCATTGTCCTGAGTTCAGAGGAGACAGAGGTGTGAACAGTGACAAAACCTGACTGGCTAGTAAACTCCTTAGTATCAATTACTTAAGAAAAATTTATTTACTAAATTTCTGAGTCTATCCTGCTCATCTCAGTGTCATATCATTATGAGAACAAGGTATTTGGACTCTGAGAATAGAGGTTTATAAATTTCTCTGAATATTAGTTTTCTCACTTAAAATATATATTTTTATTCATGTCAGAGAGGAAGGGAAGGGGAGAGAGAAAGAGAAACATCAATGATGAGAGAGAATCATGGATTGGCTGCCTCCTGCATGCCCCTTATTAGGGATCAAGCCTGCAACCCGGGCATGTCCCTGACTGGGAATCTAACAGTGACCTCATGGTTCTTGGATCAATGTCAACCACTGAGCCACACCAGCCAGGCTATTGCCTTTCTTTTTCTTTTTCTTTTTTCTTTTTCTTTTTTTAAATATATTTTATTGATTTTTTACAGAGAGGAAGAGAGAGAGATAGAGAGTTAGGAACATCGATGAGAGAGAGTCATCGATCAGCTGCCTCTTGTACACCCCCTACTGGGGATATGCCCGCAACCAAGGTACATGCCCTTGACCGGAATCGAACCCGGGACCCTTCAGTCCCCAAGCCGACACTCTATCCATTGAGCCAAACCGGTCCCAGCTGCCTTTCTTTTTCATGGGTATAAGAAATAAAAAAATAATAATAATGCATAAGTAAAATTTTAAATGGTTATCAGTATTCAGCTTAGTAAATATAAAATCTTTGAGAATAGTTTTCCTACCTTGTTACAGAAATATGAATTCTTCATTATATAGACATAGTTGAAATAGGTATTCCTATTTCTTAAAATTATTTAAGATTTTATCTTTAAATGCATTATATTTCTTTTTAAAGAAAAATATGTTCTTATTGATTTCTGAGAGGAAGGGAAAGCGATAGAAACATCAATGGTGAGAGAGAAACTTCATCAGTTGGCTGCCTCCTGCATGTCCCCCACTGGGGATCGAGCCCACAACCCAGGCATGTGCCCTGACGGGGAATTAACCGTGGCCTCCTATTTCATAGGTCAGCTCTCAACCACTGAGCCATGTCGGCTAGGCTGCATTATATTTCTCAAAATTGACCTGCTAAAGGCTGCTTATGATTTTAACACAGAGAAAATGTGAGTTACAAAATAAAATATAAACCTGTTAAACAGTGAAGTTAGGAAGTGGAAATGAATCCCTTTATGTTTAGCATTACAGTGTGGATGAGAAGTGTAAGTGAAGCAAATGTTAAAATGTTTGGTTGTGTTTGTTTTAATCTTTCAGTACAAGTATCAAGTGAACGTGGATGGGACCGTTGCTGCTTACAGATATCCGTATCTCATGCTGGGCGACAGTCTGGTTCTGAAGCAGGACTCCCCGTATTATGAACATTTTTATGTGGCACTCCAGCCTTGGAAACATTATGTACCGATTAAAAGAAATCTTGCTGATTTACTGGAGAAAGTTAAATGGGCCAAGGTACACTTTCTGAGTTTTCGTTTCTTTAGGCATTAACACATTCATCAGAATTAGTTCCAGGAATTCCTTCATAACACAATTTAATTTGACACAATTTAGCCAAAAGAAATATTTTCTGAAGTTTTTATTCTCTTGAAATAGCTGAAGAACCAATATCGTTATCACTTGGTATGCCCTCTATCAACATTTTTGAGGATTTTTATATTTGAAGTCCAGTGTTTTATAGAGTATATATCTTTCTCATGAAATCACTATTTGTGCATATACACACACAAGCAAGAATACTTCAAATGCAAGTTACAGATAGGAAAGACCTGGTGGCAGTGCTTTGTGCACAAGAAAATATTTGAGTCAACATGGTGCTCCTTTTTTCCCTCAGTTAGAAAAAGGCCCACGTTCATAATGAAGGCATGATATACAACATCCCAAGAATCACAAGTCTCCCATAAAATAAGAATTCTTTTTCAAAGGAAAAGTATTAAAAAGTGATTGTGTTTTATTATGAAACTATAAAAATGTACCCTTTTATTATAAGACTTTATTGTTTCTGAGAAGCAGTATTTGGTTAGGGAAATAGCTGGGTGCCTGAGGCAGAATAATTATTGTGACCCTTTAAAAAGAATCAGAATTATTTGCAAATGGCTTTTCCTATGGGCAGCATGGTAAAATTTTAGCTATTTTCCCAAAATATAGTTAGGAATGCTCACTATTCCTGTAACTGAAGGGACAGCCTGTGGGTACTGGTGACTAAATGTTTATTACAACAGCAATATCGTCTTTTATTGGTAACAGTTAATAAGAAATTTGGGCCTCTGATTGCATATTTAAAGGGAGCTTTTAAGAGATGTTATAACATGGAAACTGACTCATTCTATTCTAGCTTGTATTTTAATATCAAACAGAAAAGGCTGGAATGGGGAACAGATGATGAGCCCTAAACTTTCTGGGTATCTAGGGAAGTATTATACCAATGTCCTCACAATAGAAGCTGCATGCAGAGTGTTGCACTTTCGGGGGGAGGGGGGTAGTTAGTGGGCCTGTGGAATGGGGTACAAACATGCATGACCATTTCCATGTAACAGAGATGTCTAGGAGAGCACTCTGTCCGTGTCCATAGCCTTGTTCCTAAGTATAGTTTCATCATGATCCAGCTCTCCCATGCAGTGCATATCCAACCCCACATGTGTCCTAGCTCACACTCACCTTTAGCTTTGTCTGTAGGTCACAGGAGTGATCTTCATTCATTGTTTCTTTTTACATCTCTCAGGAAAATGATGAAGAAGCCAAGAGGATTGCAAAAGAAGGGCAGTTGACTGCCAGGGACTTGCTACAGCCACACAGGCTTTACTGCTACTATTACAGGGTACTGCAGGTCAGTGCAGGGTATCCGTCCTGCGGGGTCATGCTTGGCCGAAGTGCCTTGCTTCCGGGGGGGGGGGGGGGGGGGGGGTGACGGGGTGGGGGGGGGGACGGACAGGAGGATGCCTTCTGAGATTGAGCTTGTGGACTCTGGTTAAGCCAAGGACCAGCCTAAAGGAGGAAGAGTACTAAGTCTCTTGGTAGCCAACATATTTTATCTCCATTCAGTATTACAAAAACAATGCTTACAGCCTTACAAAAATAGGTGAACAACTCCAACTATCTTGTCAGTGCCTTTTTTTTTTTTTTTTTTTTTCTAAATGCCTTAGGGAATTCATTATCTGGAAAATTAGAGGGTTAGAGTAGAGGTTATTAACATCTCTCCCCACTCAAAATGTCCACCTCTTTGTTCTTCCTGCTACTTAAGAGTCCTGCTTTTGCTATCCTAGTATTGGATGGAAAGCAAATATTTAGCTTCCTACATAAAACAAACAAATGAAAAACACTTATAATAGGACTAACACCTTAGGGCTAAAAGAGGAAGTACGGCACAAATGTTTATTGGGAATCCAAGGATTAGTTCTTGTGTAACTACCTTTACTTCTTAAAATCTAGCCAGGAAGAAAAATATTAAGAACATATGTTCTTGTTTTTAACCTAAACTTATTTTTCCTGTGAGCAGAAAAAAAAGTAAATTCCCTTAGATGCTTGTTGATACCAGATGCTTTGTGGGGAGGTAAGGCCTGTGGAATAGGGTACAAACATGCACAATCACAGAAAAATGTAAAGGATGAATTACGCTCTTTATCAGAAACAATCTTTCCCTTAGATGAGTTCTGTTCCCTCTGCTGGGCTGATAGGAGTTTCCCTCCCTACGATATTAATTAGGCTCATGTGTTCATGTCAGTGCTTTCTTGGGTTTGGCCCTGGACCAGGAGGATCCAGCTCAGTGTACTTGAAACCACTGAAAGGAAATATCCAATTTTTAGGAATATTTGTCAGTGGCCAAAGGGGAGGGACATTTCACAGGCCTGTCACCATTTACAAAACGTGCATGACTGCAGGCCTCAAGGAGAGATGGGTGAGAGCACCAACTGATTTTGAGATGCTTACCACCTGATTTAAATACTCAGTAAAGTTAATTATTCACTGATCCCTGGAGGATAAATGCTAATTGGTGCTGTTGTTTCAAGAACACTTGGCTTGCCTCCCTTTTTGTAGAGGCCTTCTACCTACACGTACAATTGTGGATTAGGGTTCCTTGATAGATTATGAAATATTACACTAGTGCCTACAATAACTGAAGTGAAAAATGGAACATTAGGACTGGAACAACCAGTCCAAATCAGACCTTGGGTTTGTAGCAACTAGAAATGACAGCGTGGTTGTGGAGGAATAGGGGGGATGAAGCGCGGACTAATCTTTTCGTTGCCTTCGAAAACACATTCCAGAATTACGCTGAGCGCCAGTCCAGCAAACCCGAAATACGTGATGGGATGGAACTTGTTCCTCAGCCGCATGATGACACGTCCGTCTGCCAGTGCCAGGGGAAGAGCCCTTCGAGAGAAGAACTCTAAATCGGCCCGGATTTACACTCCTTTGTAGGCCGGCTGCGTCTTCAGTGGAAGTACTCAGACAGAATCCAAGCTATGAAGAACACAGCTTGCCAAAATATAAATCACTCTCTAGGAATACATGTACATCATATTTATTGGTTTGGTATTTTTAATCCATTGTACACTCTTGCTCGTCCATTTCCAGTTATGAAGAAAAACTATTTGTGTAGGGTGGTTATGTATTTTTTTTACCCCACACAATTTACCCTTCTACAAGCTGCTTTTGACATTCAGTGATAGTAAGCCTCCTCTTGAGACTGAATAAGGACGAAGAGAAGGACTGTTATGAATGGTAGCTGGGATTCCATGGTGGGGAATAATTTTTTAAAAGCTCACTCATCACTTTTTAGCTGAGTTTTACCAGCACCTGAGATAAAAATAAGAAAGTGCCTTAAGCTAGTAGTTTCTAAGCTATCACAGCTATTAAAATAGATGAACGCCTTAGCGAGAACATTCATTATCTATATGTTGAATAAAGGTGACTGCAGTCCGGTGGGGATCTGTAATTCTTTTTAATATTTTAAAGGGATACTTGAAAACCTCTGCAACAAGCCACAGGAAGCCTAGTATCTTGGGATTCACTAATAGCTGACAACAAAGGCAAGCGTCCATTCCTCACTGCACCCCTCCTCCATTTCATTAGGTTAAACAAATGGACATTTTCTCTGCCTTTCGGGTCCAAACTTAAGACTGACGGCCCAGAAGTTCATGGCACACTCCTTGTAATGCCAATTCAAGGTTGAGTTAGCTGAAGAACCACACTCCAAAAAACCAGAACTATGCACACTCCCAGTCTTAAAATATTTACTCCCCCAATTGAAATGCCTAATCTGGAAAACAATGTAACCACTTTGAAGGAGTCATATCTATTCTTTTTTGAAAATCAATAAGAATTTTTCTTAATGAGATAAGAACAAAATCACGCTTAGGAACAAGGTAATCAAACATGGAAAACTCTTCCAAAAGCACAAGTGCATGGTATAAAGTAAAGGGCAAGCTGTAGGGAGACCAGATCTTAGTGAATCTGTGTCGTTGATATATGGTACATGGAGTTTGGCCTTGTCAAAGCTGAGATGATAGAAAGTTTGCCCTCTCTCCTATTTCCCTGTCCTCCAAACCCAGGTACTTTTGGATGGCTAATGATATTTTGTTAGAAACACCTTAAATTTTTAAAATGTGTCACCCGTGGCCAAACAGTTAAAATTGACTTGAGATAAGCCTGGCAGCTTCTGGCAGTGGAACAAGGATGTGCTTAAGAAATTAAGTGGAGCCCTGGAAGAATCCACTGGAAGGGAGCAGCCTTCATCTAATCTTCCACCGTACCTACTCAGTCATGGCTTTAAAAAGAGTGAGTTTAAATGGCTTCCTGGTTTGTTGACATGAATAGAATTTGGTAAAAATGGGATTACTAAAACCATGATTTTTTTTTTTCCTTTTTAGTTCACACATTACCCATGATTTCCATTCATTTTTAATACTTTGGTTTTCATGAAAAATATCTGATCTTTAAAAGAAGGAAAGGGACATAAGGATATGCAAGTGAATATAATAACTTTATGTCTAAGCAATCAACATTTGTTGCAGTCTTGTTTCTATTAATAAAATGTTGAAAACATCTTAATAGCCATCATTAGGGAATTGGCTAAGTAGATATTGATACATAAAAGAATACAGTACAAGCAAGAATAAAGTAGCTCTATTATGAAAAATTTCCATAACAGTGTTCAGGAGGAAAAAAAAAAAAAAAGTTGGTTTTTTTTTCCAGAAAAACATGTATAATGTGAAAACATTTATGAAAAAAACAAAAATATATCCATGTGGTTGAAAGTTTGAAAGGATATTCACCAATAGCTGAGGAGGGGATGGAGAAAGGGAATTTATACTTTTTGCTTTATACATGTGTGATATTTAAAATGTTTTTACTATAAGTGTGAGTCAGACTGTAAAATAAAGAAAAATTCAAACCTAGAAAAAGACAATAAATGCACAGAAGATATACATAGGAAAATTGATATTTATATTTTCAATTATGCTGTTTTTAATTCTATGTTTAAAATTTTATATCATGGGATATATTACATATACTTTTTTAATAAAATAAATTTTGTAAATAAAATTTTGAAAAATATAATTTTTTTAAAAGAGATTGTAACCATCTTGGGATATTTATAACTGGGTTGGTCTAACTATAATTTCATTAAGTCTTCATGAATAAATGAATCAAAACATCTATCACCATCTCTCAATCCCTAATAAGTAGAAATCTAACACTAGAGGAAAAGATCACACAGGAGTGGACAAAAGTAGGTTTATAATTGTGAGTACGTGAGACAGTTTATTCTTATATTACTTACTAGAGGCCCAGTGCACAAAATTTGTGCAAGGGTTGGGGGGTCCCTCAGCCCAGCCTGCACCCTCTCACAATCCAGGACCCCTTGGGTGATGTCCGACTGCCGGTTTAGGACTGATCCCACCAACTGCCGGTTTAGGCCTGATCCCTGCCTAAACTGGCAGTCAGACATCACTCTAGCAATCTGGGACCGCTGGCTCCTAACTGCTCGCCTGCCTAACTACCAACCTCATCATCTCTAACTCCTCTGTCTGCCTGCCTGATCACACCTAATTACTCTCCTGCCTGCCTGATATCCCCTAACCACTCTGCCTGCCTGCCTGGTTGTACCTAACCATTCGCCTGCCGGCCTGATCGTCCCTAATTGCTTGCCTGCCTGCCTGATCACCCTTAACTGATTGCCTGCCTGCCTGCCTGCCTGCCTGGTCACCTCCAATTGCCTCTGCCTCACCCCCTCCACTGTGGCTTCATCAGGAAGACGTCTGGAATGACGTCCCAAAGGTTGTTCAGCTATCTGGTATGTTACGTTTTTATTATTATAGATTAGTTATTTTATTATTTGTATTATTTCCATAAACAGCTGTAAACCTATTTTTGCCAACCCCTGTATTTTGACTTGACACCATTGTTTTCAGTTATTTCCAGTAAAAATACAATCTGTGTGGTGTCTTATTCAGGTTGCCATTATAACAAATATACCATAGACTGGGTGGCTTAAACAGCAAATATTTTTTAAATATATATTTTATTGATTTTTTACGGAGAGGAAGGTAGAGGGATAGAGAGTTAGAAACATCAATATGAGAGAGAGAGAGAGACATCAATCAGCCGTCTCCTGCACACACCCCCACGCGGGATGTGCTCGCAACCAAGGTACATACCCTTGACCGGAATCGAACCCGGGACCTTTTAGTCTGCAGGCCGACGCACTATCCACTGAGCCAAACCAGTTTTGGCATAAACAGCAAATATTTATTTCTCACAGTTCTAGAGGCTGGAAGTCCAAGATCAAAGTGCCAATAGATCCAGTGCCTGATGAAAGCTCTCTGGTTTGCACTGACACCTTCTCATCGTACCCTCATATGGCAGAGAGCAGAGAGAGAAGAAGCAAGCTCTGTTCTTAGGATCCTAATCTATCAGGAAGACTCCAGCCTCATGACCCAATTACCCCCCAAAGGCCCTATCTCCAAATACTATCACATTGGGGATTAGGGTTTTAACACATTAGTTTGGAGAAGGTTGGATATAAACTTTCCATCCATAATGGGCAGAGAGAGAAAAAATGCTCCCCTGGCATAATAAGGCCAAGGTTAGAAGAAAGATCAATTTCTTGTTTGGAGGGAAAGGAGGTCATCCTTGTGTTGGTGAGTGGCATGTTTGACTTCAAATAGTTGAGGACAAAATTGCTAAGGTAAAAAAAACAACCCTCTTTTTATACAGAGAATCACAGTTTACCCTTTCCCAACCACTGCTGCTTGTGCCAACCTCTTGTGGAGACATTCCAGATACTGAGATCAAAGTTAAGTCTCTTCTAAGCCAAATTCTCGCTGTAGAGCTGCGTGGAAAAGGAAGCCACTCAACTCTACTCTGACAACCAACACTGCAACATTTCTTAAACACAAGGCCAGTAAGAAGCTGGGGTTTAACAGCAAATCCCAGAAGAGGATAGTCAGAGGGAGATATGTAGAGGGAAGTATAACAGCCAGAAGCAAGGGGAAGAGAATTTGAAAAGAAAAAAAAAATCACACAAATATTTTTGTGAGCTGTCCCTTCTGTTTCAATAGAACCAAGGAAAATGCCATGCTTAATTATTACAGTTTTATTTTTAAATAATATACATAGGGCAGGCAGGCAGAGTGGTTAGGGGATATCAGTGGTTAGGTGTGGGAGGGAGCACAGAGCTTTCATGCCTCTTCCTGGGGAGTTAGGACATGTCATCCTTCCTACACATCAACATGTTCACCAACCAGGAAGCTCTGCTGAGCTTTGGTGTCCAGAATGTTTTTGGATCTTATTCTGTAGGTTGATTTAATCATTGGTCAGGTGATTGAACTCAATCTCCAGCCTTCCTCCACATGTCTGGGCTGCAGGTTCTATCCCCTGTAGGATGCAGCCAATCAATGATTCTCTCTCTTCATTGATGTTTCTATCTCTCTCTCTTTCTCCTTTCCCCTCTGAAATCAATATATATCGATATATTAGAGAAAAGGGGGTCTTGGGGACAAGTTCAGGTGACTTGCCAAGGACTAACTGCCACTGCCCATTGCTGCTCTGGTTGAAAGTCTCCTGGATCCCTTAGAGTCTAGGAAATGCATGTGAGGGACGGGGGAGAAGGAAGGGATGGAGGCAGGAAAAGGCACTGGCATACTCCCAGGAGGGAGAGCACACATGCAAGGCTTTTATTTTATTTTTTAATGTTTATTGTTGAAAGTATTACATATCTCCCCTTTCTCCCCCATTGGCCCCCTCCAGTCTGCCCCTGGTCCCCATGCAGGACTTATTTTTTAAAAGTAATATATAAGCAAGGCAATGATCCTTAAATGTAATTTTTCTATTTAATTATTTTTACATTTAAAAATTTTTTTCTTAATTACTTGCTTAGTTTTGTACT